TGGAAATGTTAGGCTTAATTGTGGTCAAGGATTATCTGTACTTAAAATTGTGCGCACCAATCCAGCCTTAGGAGATTCGCCCCCACAGTCTGGGTCCTCATTTTACCCACCTCAGAAGGATGGAAGGCTGAGTCAACCCTGAGCCGGTGAGATTTGAACCGCCGAACTGCAGTTAGCAGTCAAGCTGAAGTGGCCTGCAGTACTGCACTCTAACCATTAAAACCCATGAATACTAACAGCAACATTCAGCAGTACAGTATAAATCATAAAATGAGATTTACATGAGAATTACAGTGATTTCTAGCCAAGCAATTAAAGACATCCTTACAAAAACCGAATTCAAATTTCAGAAGTGATACCGGCTTGTAGAAAGAGTTATAAATAGTTCTGGAGTTGAATTAAAGTCTGGGTTAGATTTTCTTGGGAAATATAGTATGATGGGATTTTTTTTTTAAAAAAAGTTATGATTATTTGACACCCCACCCCAAGTCACTTTTTGAAATGCGCACCCATAAAAACTGAATAAAATAAAATAAAATAAAATAAATCTCATTTTAGAAAGAGAGAGTTAAGAGGTGAAGTATGAAGGTCTGCAATGAGTTTCCATATTTAGGGGTAATAAAATCTTGCCCGGAACTCACAAGCTAACTAGATGTAAATATTATGTCAATGGTCTCTCAGTAAACAAAGCTTATAAAGTAGGGGAGACATAAATAGCTTCCTATTTCATTCTTAACCCAGGCCAGGACTTTTAAGTACAATACAAGCTCAGTGTTGCTTTCTGTAGAAGAAAGAGTGGCAGAAGCTAGGGGTGGAGTCAAAAGAAGAATCAGCCTAAAATCTGTACATAGTCACAAGTGGACTAACTCAATTCCCCCCTCTTGAATTCCACTGGCCCTTATCTGGCATCAATTTAGCGTTGAGAAGATTCATGTGCAGAGGTATCATCTTGATGAAACAGAAGGTCAATCTTGATGAAATAGAAGTCCTCACAGCTGTGAGTTTGGACACCTGCATTCTGGCATAAGGTTGGGTGCATGCAGTAGTCGATGACTCTTTGAAGCATCATGGGGTCCTGTGATCAGTATTTGCAACCTTCCCAGCCAGCTTCTGACAAGCAAAGGAGCAAAGGAGAAAGCCAGATTCACTTAACAACTGAACGATTCACTTAACAACGGCAGCGATTTGCTTAACCACAGCAAAAAGGTCATAACACCAGGTGTGACACAATTAACTGCCTTGCTTAGCAATGGAAATTCTACTCCTGATTTCAGTCATAAGTCAAGGACTGCCTATAAAGGAATCTTCTCCTTTCTGGTCCCATGCTCTTATGGTTGGTCAAAGGCCTCTTAGGAAATAGCCTGAGGAGGAAGTGCATGCAGACTTGAAAGATTCTCTTACTACTATATAAAATACCGACCGACGTAAGCGGTGGCGCAGTGGTTAGAATGCAATATTGCAACTACTTCTCCTGACTGCAATCTGGCAGTTCGAATCCCACCAGGCTCAAGACTGACTCGGCCTTCTATCCTTCCGAGGTCAGTAAAATGAGGACCCAAATCATTGGGGCCAATCGGCTGACTCTGTAAACTGCTTAGCGAGGGCTGTAAAGCACTGTGAAGCGGTATATAAGTCTAAGCGCCATTGCTATTGCTATTGGTTCCTTAGTCCAGTGATCCCCAACCCCCGGTCCGCGGACCGGNCCCCCCCCCCCCCCCCCCCCCCCCGCCACCCCCCAAATCAAGGGAAGCTAAACTAGAGGCTGGTCAGCTAAGCAGCAGCAATAAAGGTAAAGCTTCCCCTCGCACATACGTGCTAGTCGTTCCCGACTCTAGGGGGCAGTGCTCATCTCCATTTCAAAGCTGAAGAGCCAGCGCTGTCCAAAGACATCTCCGTGGTCATATGGCCGGCATGACTCAATGCCGAAGGCGCACAGAACGCTGTTGCCTTCCCACCAAAGGTGGTTCCTATTTTTCTACTTGCATTTTTTCACGTGCTTTCGAACGGGCTAGGTTGGCAGAAGCCGGGACAAGTCACAGGAGCTCGCTCCATTACGCGGCGCTAGGGATTCGAACTGCCGAACTGCCGACCTTTCTGATCGGCAAGCTGAGCGTCTTAGCCCCTGAGCCACCCTTTGAAGCAGCAGCAATGGCAGTAACCAAATCCTCCCCCCCCCTCGCCCCGGGAAAAAAATCCAGGATGCAGTGAGAAAGCCAGTTCGCCGCCAATAATCCCGGCTGGCTGAGAAGACAGACACTGCAGCCCGTCCTGGGATTGTTTATATCCCCCCCTTTGGATCCCCAGCCAGGACTGGCCGGAAAGAAAACACACATCCCCTCCCTCTCTTCTCCCCCCCCCTCCGCACGACCCATTGCACCTGTCACCAGAGGCGGGGGCTGAATTGAAAACAGGGTCTATTTCAGACAAAGCTTTTGGCCGTGCAGTGAAACCGAACAGCGCAGGGAAAAAAATAGACCCCTGGATCACGGTGGGGAGGCCGGGAGGGGGAAATGGGTGGGTGGGTATAAAAAGGGAGAGCTGATCTTCCTCCTCCTTGCCCAGCCCCGCAGGTGCCCACCTGCTCCCTGGGGAAGGGGAGCCGAGCTGCCAGTCAAGCCCTCAGCCACTCACAGCAAGGCGGCTGGCACAGGCCTTGGCAAAGAGAAACGGGCACTGCCATCCAGAGGACAAGGGGTCACAGTCACCATCGCCTTGCCTGGCACTGGATCTGGGATGGGCAGACACAGCCCCTCCGAAATGTGGGGGGGGGAGGAACTTGCTCTTAAGGTGGGGGTTTATCCGAGGGCACCCCTTTTTCTTGCTATAAATATTTTTATTGTACATTTTTCTTTACAATGCATCATATTTCCAGTTTTCTGGCTATATCCCTTTCTTTTGGAGTGTCCATAGTTTTATACACCCTGATGATAACCGATATTCTCTTAATCATACATTTATAGTCTCTTTTAAATACATAATGTCATGGTTATTAAGCATTATTTTCATAATTGTGCCATCACATTCTATATATTTATCTCTCTTTTTCCCTCTCTACATCCTTCTCCTCCCTTTTCCTCTTCTCCTCTCCCTTCTTCTCTCTTCTCCACTTCCCTCTCCTTCCCTCTTTCCTACACCTCTTCTCTCGTCCATTTCCTTCTCTCCTTTCCACTCTCTACTTCCCACTTCTGCCTTCTCCTTCCTTCTCTTCTTCTCTCTCCTCTTCTCCACTTCCCTCTCCTTCTCTTTCTCCTTCTCTCTCCTTTCTTCTCCTCTCTCCTCTTTTCCCCTCTCTCCTACTCCTCTCCTCTCGTCCATTTCCTTCTCTCTTTTCCCCGCTACTTCTCTCTTCTTCTTTCTCTCCTCCTCTCCCCTCCTTCCCTTTCTCCTACTTCTCTCCTCTCGTCCATTTCCTTCTCTTCTTTCCCCTCTCTACTAATCTCTTCTTTCTCTTCTCCTCTCTCCTCTTCTCCCCTCTTCTTCCCTTTCTCCTACTCCTCTCCTCTTGTCCATTTCCTTCTCTCCTTTCCACTCTCTCCTTCCCACTTCTGCCTTCTCCTTCCTTCTCTTCTCCACTTCCCTCTCCTTCCCTCTCTCCTACTCTCTTCTCTCTTCTCCTTCCTCCTCTCTCCACTTCTCCCCTCTCTCCTACTCCTCTCCTCTCATCCATTTCTCTCTTTTCCCCTCTACTTCTCTCTTCTTCTTTCTCTCCTCCTCTTCCCCCTCCTTCCCTTTCTCCTACTTCTCTCCTCTCATCCATTTCCTTCTTTCCCCTCTCTAGTCTCTTCTTTCTCTTCTCCTCTCTCCTCTTCTTCCCTTTCTCCTACTCCTCTCCTAGTGTCCATTTCCTTCTCTCCTTTCCACTCTCTCCTTCCCACTTCTGCCTTCTCCTTCCTTCTCTTCTCCTCTTCTCCATTTCCCTCTCCTTCGCTCTCTCCTTCCCTCTTCTTCCTTCTCCTTCCTCCTCTCCCCTCTCCTTCCCCCTCGCCTCTCATCCATTTCCTTCTCTCTTTTTCCCTCTCTCCTTCCCTCTTCTTCCTTCTCCTTCCTCCTCCACTCTGTTTTCTTGAGTTGCCCAATTTCGCTAAAACCAACCCGAGATGCCACCTTCCCCAGACGAGCGAACGAAGGACATTCCCCGGTTGGCACAGGTTGTGCGAATGCAGCCCCTTGTGTTCAGCTGACCTGGAGGTTTGGGGGGCAGCGTGGCAGGATGGATTGGTGCCCAGGGGCTGCTCTGGGAGAATGCTGTGGGAGGGGGAGTCAGGGATGCAGCTTTCCTGCCCTCTAGGTCCTCCGCCTACCAGCTCCTCCCCACCCATCCTGCCTAGCGCCTGACGCAGCTTTCAGGATGCCGACCCTGTCACCCTGCTCTCTGCGGCCAGCACCCCAGGCGGCTTCCTGAGTCTGGCTGGAAATTCCTGCCCTGTGAGAGAGCCCACCCCCCCCCACACGTGAAAAAAGAAATGCCAGCCCCTTTTGGCAGCGGGTAGAAAGGGAAGGGCGGCGAAAGGCGGCTGCCGGCAGCAGGCAAAACGAGCAGCGAGCAGGGCAGGGAAGCATGTACGCCACTTCTCCCCCAGGCAACGCCTCCCACGGTTGGCAGGGGGAACATCTGGGCACGGGGAGGAGCGCACGCATGCAGCTCTGCCTTGCGCGCCTGCCTCCACCCTGCAGCCGGATTGCTGGCTGCTGACGTCCTCTGGGGACAAAAACTGCTCTGTGCTCTGCGTGGGAGCCCCAAATCAGATGGCAGGATTGGCACCGGGGGCCTGGCGTTCAGGGGAACAGGGCACCCTTGATTTAAGACCCTGGCGGTCATGGGTTCAGGGATTGCTCCAACCTGCGATTCCCCTCGACGAGGACGGCTAAGCAAGCAAAGGACCCACTTTATGGAATTGAATTGAATTGAATTTTATTATTTGTATGCCGCCCTTCTCCAGAAGGGACTCAGGGCGGCGAACAACTCAAAAGGGGAAAAGGGGAACATAGAACANGCCACTCTCCAAGGTGGGTAATTGTGAGCTACCTTGAAAGACTGCGGGAGAGGAAAGACTTCGCTGGAGAGGAATTCACTGTCAATTAAATAAAAGGGGCTTATCGGGACGGGGACCAGGCTTCGTGCTGCTGGGGAAGCCACGAGGGCATCCACCCATGCTGAAAAAAAGTTCCTTTTCCTTTCAAACCTGAAAAAGGGGGCCAGTGACAAGACTGCAAAGAAGACAGATGCTTAACCAGCTCCTTCCGGCAGACTGGCCACCTGCAAAGCTGCGGATAACAGTCAAAGGAAGTCTTCAACTACGCCTGGAGGTGGCCCGAGTGAGATGCATGATTCTTGAGGTGCAAAGAACATGTACGGAGGAGCTGAGATGAGCAGAAGGGATCTGAAAGAGATCCATGCGCGTATCCTCCCCTGTCTCCATCAGCCTCCCTTCTCCTCATCTGACCAGCTCTCGTTCCAAAGTGGAGCAGAGCTGCAGGAGAGTGGGACGACGGGAGAATGGGAAGAGAAAGTCTTCAATGGACCCTGAGACCAAGGATGGAGCTAATGGGGCACCAGGAGCCCAGCTTCAAGGTTCAGGATGACAATTCTCCAGTTATTCCAGGAATGGAACGTCCTCTTGAAGTCTCCAAAGCTGGAATGTGAGGGCATCCTTAGAAGAGGACCAGCTGCAAGAGCAACAGCCAAGGCATGGCCAATGATGAACCGTCTCTTGGTTGGTAGGTTCTCCGCGCCCAACGTCACTGGCACTTGTCGTCGCTCTCGGAAGGGCTGAACTCGCGAGGGATGGAGTGTCGTTGCCGCCGATCCCACAGCTGGTGGATTTCGGTGGCCTCCATATCGCTGCTGCTGGTTGTGCTATCCCGGAAGCTCGCCAGCGGGGGGCGCACCTTCGCCCCTTTGGCAGTGACCGAACCTTCAATGGCTTTGCGCAGCTGAAGAGAGAAAGAAGAAGGAATGAAGTTGTCAGATTTCCAAAAGATGCCCTAATTAATCCATGAGCCTCAAGGCAAGTTTCAAAAGAAATCCAGTCATTTATTAAGAGCACCATTTCGGCAATACCGCTTTGCAGTCAGATCTGATCTCATTTTAATTATGGCTGACCTTTCTTCCTGTTTCCTCCCCCCCCTCAGTCTGTGTCATAAATCACATTCACCAATGAAGTGCACTCCTCACAAGCCTGCTGTAGTAATCTGAGATCTGACTCTAGCCGATGGTATGTGTGGAATGCGCCCCCCCCCCCCTTTCCTCACCATGGCAACTTTATGAGTTGACATTAAGGAG